TAAATCCATTATAATTTGTTTTGCAGAATAAGCCCAAGTATTACCCTTCTAGAATCAACTGGATGATCCATGGAGTCAAGGTCAGTTCCAGGGGTTCAGATGAGGGGTAGAAAGGGAAAGAGATTGGCTTCTGGCTCTTCCATCAGTTTCTCACTCAGGTTTTTCACATCAATGGGTGAGTAGTGTTCTCTCTTTCCTCCACTTAACTTTTGGCAAACCCAGTTAGAGACCATCATCAGATAAGCTCAACCTCTTGTTAAAATAAATAGAATATAGGACAGAAACAGCATCAGTGATTTGGTTTCTTTGACATTTAATGAGAGAACAAAATTATATATTGAAGACAAAAGACAGCAGTGCCAGGCACAGACCCAGGACAGGTGCTGTGAAAAAGCCTATCGTGGTGGTGTCTGGGGATTTAAACTCTGGAGAAAAGACTAAACTAAAATTAAGAATAACAAAGTCATTAGTATATACTTCTTGGCAGATTATTAGCTGTATGTGGAAGCTTTGATAAAACAGGCTTTTAGCAATGTTTTAAATTTCAGATTTAAGAAAAATCCTCTCTTACTCGCCATTTGTTGAACACTGCCGTTTATTTCCATTGTTATTCATTGCCATGGAGCCCAATTACTCCTTTGTTTTCTTATTCACATTTAGTCCACATTATCACAAATAAAAATCACAAGGATACCATTACCCTTCAACACTTCCCCAATGTATAAATCCTAATTTGCATTAAATCCTTGAAGCAACATACGTTGCAGTGAATGAAATGTCCTTCTGTAAAAAGCACTGTAAATAATGAAAGAATTTTTAGTTCAATATATATACACGACTTTACATACAGCTAAACTGACCAAGGTGCTTTTATACACCCTAGGTATACAATATTCAATATGCTTAGAATAATAGTTATTCGAAAGGAATATAATCTTTGAACATAAAACAGTTTAAGAATAAAAAAACTTCTATAAGTTCACTTATCTATTCTGCTATTAACCCACCGGTGTAGAAATTTTACGTACCATAATTAATGGGAAAAATTAATGAACGCTACTGATACTCAGTGTAGTTCTCAAAGGCTGAAAACCTTTCCCAAAAATCAGTATCTGAAACCTGTCTCTTTAGGAAAAACAGTCAAAGCTTTAACTGTTTTCAGTCTAGTATAAGAAAGCTTTGAAGCAAGTTAACTCTAAGCACTCAAGGAAAACTATTTTTAAAAGTGGGGGGGACAAACGGAGGACCTTAATTTTCAACAATATCGGCCTGAGAAGTAACTTTATAAGAGAATGTCTGAGTATCTTTAAAAAGAGAGAGAAAAAAGTAATTAAAAATGTTGGAAGTCCACAAACTGAGCATAGCAGCAAAAATGACTCAAGAGGGAAAATTTAATGAAAAATAAAAAACTGAAAGCAAATTAATTGATCAAAACACAGACACACACACATACATGCACACACAATGCAGGCAGTCATTCAGCATTATATGCTAGCTGGCTTTGTATTTTCTTTTAAAATATAATCATAACTTCTCAATGTATAAAATAAGGCTCTCAAAGTACTCATGAAAAATTCTTACCAAATTTCACTCTAGAGTTAATGATATTAGGCATGTTAAATCAGGAATCAACACATGCTATTTTCCACAGCAGGAACTATATAAATTACAAGCTCTTCCATGTTTTTGTTATTAGATTTGGTACACTTAAAAATAAGCGGTATTCTACATCGAGTGCTCTAACGCAACTGTTTTTATATCTTTTAGAATTTATATTTCATCTCAGTGCTCAATCCTTACAAAAAACCACAAAAAGACCTGCAATTGCTATTTACTGTCTTGCACAATAAAATTGTATTTGTTCTGTTTTTGAATTCATAGGTTTTGCTTTATGAAGTTTCAGAAAGAAGCAACTTTATTATATTTTCGCTGTTACTCATGATTTTAGCTTAAAGATCATTAATTTTAACACTAACACCCTGCTATATTCTCATTTGGGTTGTTCTATTTATCTCAAAGGTAGACTTATGTATTACCATTACAAAAAAATAACTATTTGCATAATACTTTATGATTTTACATCTATTACAAACACATCACAGGGAGTCTGAGGATGCATTCAGTAGCTTGTCATTCACCACTTCAAGACCCTTCAGAACTAAACAAGGAGGAGGGTGACATTTTGCTAAAGGCAGAAGAAATGAATATAAATAACAAACTTTGAAGTTTTAAAAATACAAAAGAAAATTTTTAAAATGCAAACAAAAATATGATCATATGCATAAACAATATAATTTCAATTTTTAAAACTCCATGTCCTCTATACAGAGCAAGGTGTTTGGAGATTTATATATCTTCTATTATGATACCCACTGAAATTATCTAAAACTGTGCTACAAAAATAAAGAAAATTACCACCTTCTTGCTAGATTTTATAAATGTCATATTAAAATTGTGCCTATTTACATAATTAAGCTTTTCCTCAGCCTTGTGAAATAATCTGAGTATCATTTCTTTATTATTCTAGACTTAACCCTATAAATGTGCATATTAAGAATGTTTCAGAGGGAGATAATGATCTAACATGTTAAGAAATTATGTTGTCCCATAACTTCTTCTTGGTAAAACAATTACAAAGAAAATTGTTTACATCTTCTGTATTTTCTTCCATAACCACCAGTCCAGATAAAAAAATACTGAATGCTGTTATGTCACCTCTAGTCCAAATGCTCATGGCACTTGAAGCTTTTTGTAAGCAATATGCTTCTATACTAAACACATATCCCTGAGCCACCCCCTACCTAATTTAACAGTTTTAAATGTACTTTCAAATACAGCGTAATACCATCTTAAACATACACACACATACATACACACACACACACACACGGAGTGTGCAGAAAAGGAAGGAGGTGGAGAGCAAGAAATGGAGCACGTTGTTGTTTTTCATTCATGCAGTATAGTGATGTCAGTGTCTGCAGCAGCAGCAGCGGCAGGAGCCTTGACCTGTGGAGGCTACAATCCACTGAAGTCAGAACCTTGCAGAATTCAAAAGAAACTGAGTAGATAATTGTTTGAAAAATTGTTCAACTGTTCATAGCATGAATTTTAAATAGATAAGTAAAAAGAACAGATTAGTTGTATAGTTTTAACTTAGGTAGAGAGGAGCAAGACGGGATGTGGAGAAGTAACAGAAAGGTAATATCATCAGGGAACTGGGGGCAGAAGAACCTACATTCAAAATCATTTCAGTGTAAGAAACTGACAAAACCACCTGGTGTTAAAAACAGCAGAAAGGCCTCTTCTGTTCCCAATACAAGCTCTCTGATGCAAATCTGTCTCCTGAACAACCAGAGTCAGAGAAGTGTTTTCATCATGATTGCGTTAAAATTGCATTAAACTCAGATGTGACATACTACATACAACAAAGAGGACAGTTTAAGCCTGGTCACAAATTTCATTAAAACTACTTGATGATGGACCTTGTAATTCCTAAGCAATTAAGACTTTTGAAGGATGCAGAAAAACAAGTTGTACTATGATCTGTTGTAAGATGTGTTTATCAACAAAAGGGGAGGAGGTACTAGATGACCAATATATTGTTGCAGCAATTGCTGAAACTACTCACTATGCCCACAAAACCCTCTGAACACAGTCTTTCTGCAGTGCTTATTTTATGGCTCTTACATTAGTCCCTAAAAGAAAATCCCAAAACTCAATCTATGTACTGTTGAAACTAAATCACTCAAAAATTTATGTAACTGCTGCCTTCTTTTCATTCTGTTACCTCTCATTTCATACAGTTCTAGAAAATGTGCAAAGGAGTTGCATATGGCATTAATCTGTTAGAAAATGGTGGCCTTTTCTATAAAATACAGCCAAAGATGTGTGTTCAGTTGCGGTCATTATTAGGGCGATCACGTTGTTTTCATTCATTCATTCAGGATTTGCTGGAGGATGTCAGTTTCTGTAGCTGGCTTGACCTGGGGGAGGAGTGGGGGAACAAATTCCTTCTGGTGCATACTGATTACAGGATGTATTTCTCGGTGCTCCTGTACACATACCACTGCACTACATCCTACCCTGCCTCACCATCAAGTGGTCTGAAAACAAGGGCCTCAGCAACATGCTAATTACAGGTCAGAAATATTAAAACAAAACACCAAAACTGCAATCTATCTTAACACAATCACTTTCTCCAAGTCTAAGACCTTCATCAAGAAAACTCCATTAAAAAAATTACACATACCACATAAACACTGCACAGGCTCCACAGTGATTCCCTTCCAAGCAGAGATTTTTCCCCTCGGTATGATCCGTTCTCTCCACAATGCAGCAGCAGCATCTGTAGCCCTAGCGTGGTATCTAATAACATGAGCTACTCCTCCCTCCCTTATGACTTTTACATCCTTGTTTTGGCTAAACTTCCTTTTCTCCCCCAGAACTAAACTAGATCATTCACCGTGTCCCTAAACATAAACCAAACCACCCCAAAACACAAAACATTAAGGGAAGCCGACAGCATCCACCAGTTCACCATTACCTTTGACACCTAAGAAAAACGAAACTTGAGATCCTTTAACAGCTCAACTGAACTGTTAAGTGTACTTAAAAATAGAAGGAAAAAAGTGAGCACACTCCACAAATAGGTCCTTAGAAATTTACCATTAAAGTCTTGAGTTGGGCATAAACTGTTTCCAGTGCAGTACCGCCCTGATGCATATGACTATATAAAGTAGAGAAAAGAGGGAGCCCCCCCCAAAAAAAGCCAAACCAAACACTATACACTTCAATTGCACATCCAAAACTGTCCCCTCTACACACCCAACAGGATATCCTTACATCATAACTGGTGCCTCCACCTCCCCACCCCCAAAAAAGAAAAAAAAAATTATCCCGGTAGGCACAGACACATTATAGGAACTTTGTAGGAAAGCACAAAGAGGCTGTAGAGATTACAACCACCACCTTATCTGCTGCCGGAGAGTTTGTGTGCGTGTTTTTTTAAGTGTTTCGCCCAGCTCCTCCTTCCCCCACTACAAACAGCAAACACATGAGTGAGCTAATCAGCTCTTAAACTGAAAAACCTTTCGATACAGGCGAGTGATGGAAGATAAAAGCTGAGGGGCGGCAGGAGGGTCAAATAAAAGTTGCTCCGCAGTTTGCTCATCCAAGCCCCGCAGCGACCGCAGGGGGGGTGAGGTTCCCAAAGCCACTTTCACACCTTCGATAATGCACTAGCAAAGAGAAGCCCGGAGAGGCTGAAGTTTCCACGGAGGGCACCGTCGGGGAGACGCAGCCCGGGAGGACAGAAAGGTTGGGCTCGCTACCTCTGCACACGGGCGAGCCGGGGCTCCGTCGCTCAGGTGAGTTGCTCCTCCGGTGGCTCTCTGGGGACCGTCTCGGGCGGCCCTTGGCCCGCGGCGCCTGCTCGGTCGGGGCTGAGGTCGGCGGCGGCGTCGGGCTGGGCGGGCTGGGGCCGCGGGCCGCGCCGGGCCCCGGGAGGCTGCCCAGCGAGGCGGCGGCGGCGGGCGGGCGCGTGGGACTGTGCTGGCTGCCCCGCAGGAGCTGGTAGGGCACCGTGGCGCGAATGGGCTGCAGCAGCCGGCCGGCTCCCGCAACCGGGGCGCAGCTCACGCCGCCGCCGCCCGCACCGTTCCCGCTCCCGGCGGCGGGGGTGGCGGGCGGGGAACCCGCGGCGCTGCGCCGCATCCTCTGCGGCGGGGGATGAGGAGTCTGAGAGGAACTGGAAGAGGAGGAGGCAGTGGACATGGTGGCTCCGCGGGCCCTGGACGATGCCGGCCAACACCGAGGCGCGGAGCGGGAGGCGCGCGAGCGTGTGGGAGCCGGCGCGATAGTGCGTGCGAGTGTGTAAGGGGGAGGGGCGGGGGTATCGTGGAGGGGGAGGAGTCTCTCGGCTCCCCCTTCGCAACGCGCACCCCCGCCGCCTCAGCGAGGGGGGAGGGGAAGGCTGCGAAAACAAACGTCCAACGGCCCCAACCGCCCGACCGGGCTCGGTGTGGCGGTCACGGCCGGGGCCGCGAGGAGCCCGGAGCCGCCGCCGCCGCCGCCCCGGGCATCGCGCTGACAGGGGAAAGGGGCAGCCGCCGGGATCACGCAGATCCGCGGGGCTGCACGCGCAGGAGAGCCCGGCAGCTGCAGGAAGGGCCGGGACCCCTGCTTCTGGGGACCTGGTAAGGGGAAAGGGCCTCGAGGTGCCTGGATGAAAGCGGAGCCGCGCCACCGCAAACGCCGCCGCCGCCGCCTCTTCTGCCCGCTCCTCACTCCATAAGGCACCTAACCCCTCAACCCGTACCCCGCCCCCTGCACCGCCTCCCGGCGCTCCGGGCCGGCAGCTGCCGCAACGAGCATTCCCATTGGCTCCGTCGTTCTCCACCAGTACGCGAGTGATTGGTTTCAGGGTAGGAGTGAGAGGAGCACCTGCCAATGAGAGTAGGCATCCTACTTTGGAGGCGGGATATGAAGGAGCGAAGAGGGAGAAAGGGGCTGTGCGCTCGAGGAGGGGCGTGAGAGTTGACAGCCTTTGAGGTGAGAGGGGGACTTTGATTGGGCTGCCCTGGGAGAGTGGGTCCATGTGTGTCCTGCGCGTGCCCCGACACCCACAGACGCGCACGCCCAGGGAAGCAGGTTGTGAGGGCTCCACCCTCCAGGGCCGTTTGTACAACTTGAGACAGAGGATGCGTCAGGCAAACTTTACTTTGCAAGTACACCTGTTCTGGTGGTGGGATGTTTTAAAAGAATCCATCCCTTCCCCACTAATTTTAGTAATCTGAGTTTTTGTGGCGAGTAGACTAATCAAAAAAACTTAAGGCCATCAGAAGCAATGTCTGGGGGTTGGATTGAACACTGGGTGGATACTTTTACAGTTATCCTATGGAGTGAAAAGAGATAATCAAATCATATGTTCCAAGACAATAACTCTGAATTGCAGGGGTCAACAAGGAATTGTACATCATTACACCATAAGTTAAATGGAGGTGTAATGGAGGGCACACCCTGTTGTCTTTTCCCAGAAGCAGGTGGCCTCTTGGGAGAAATCGTACCAGACTTGATGTAACAATCCACTGGGGTAAATTTAGTTTTTATTCTGCAGTGGAACTGAAGAGAAACTAAGATTTTGGATGACTGTCAGGAACCTAAGTTTACCCCACAGTAAGCCAAGGTTTTAAACGTTAAGCAGGAACAATTGATTGAAGGGTCCACATCAGATACCCTCCATTCGTTTCAATGAGATAAAAAAGAAGTGGGAGATCAGATTGGTCTACTCTTGGTGTCTGCCCACACTGACAGGCTTCCTCTGATTTCAGGCACTAAATGCAGGGGTCAGTTTCACTTAGAGGAGCCATCCCTCTCAGCTTCATTGTGCCCTCAGAACAGAAAGCATACTAGGTTCTGTAAAAAGTGGATGAAACCCACTTTTTCTGTAAAATGCAAGAATTGCACCCATGAAGACTAGTGACAGCTCCTCACTTTATCACATAGTAGAATAACAGCTAACATTTACTGAGCATTTCATGTGTCAGCCACTGTTCTAAGAATGTTTTATGTGTTAATTCCTTCAATCCTATAATCCACAAGGTAGATACTACTATTATCCCCATTGTGTTCACATGTATTTGCTTTCCAGAATAACATTAAATATAAATGTAGTAAAAACTTTACTCTTTTAAATTTAGTATAATTGACCTATTGTATTACTTTTTCCATCTAAAATGAATGATTTCCTCATTCATTAGGAAAGTGCCTTCCTTCATGGGGAAAAAGAATGATAAATGACTTCTTTCTGATGACTTTTTCAGAATATCAAGAACAAAAATTGACGGATTAAAATATGTGAAGGTTTTAAAAATGCTGGTAAATTTCCAAGTTGTCGATTTGATTACAGCATGGTTTCATAATAGAAATGTTATCTCTGGCCACTCCTAAATATAAGTATGTAATGACCCCAACACTTTAGATTACAGTAATTCTAAATTTATACCAAGCCACAGTCCTAATGATCAATACCTGATTTGGATCTAAAACAACCTACCTAGCCATATGTTAAAGTCTTTCTGTGTTTGTTGAAAACTGCCAACGCCAACTTAAATCAGACAACCAAAACAAATCTAAATGACGCACACAGAGAAATAGTATGATCTTAAAATACTATGTTCAGTTGCTGGTAAGTCACCATGACCTATTTGGATGTTCAATCACCTTCTCTTTACTAAATATATCTTGGTTGCCTCTTAAACCTCTGTTCTCATGAAATAAATACTGATCTTTATGTGTAAGGAATTCAGTCTCCAAACAAATCAAAGGTGGGCTAAAATAAACTAAACCCAGTATCGGCTTTCAAATGTCCATTTGTTGAGTTCTTAACAGTATTTTATTCTTAGTGAGTTTGGGAGTGGGCTCCAAGGGTATGAAAAGAAGCTTTAGGAAAACATACTCCTCAGTAAATTGGGAACCCCTTAGAAGGAAGTGTGGATTGCTGGGTGAGAAGAGCATTGTTACCCGACTGTGCTAGCTATGGGATGGTTAGGCCCCGTGCAGATTATCTCTATTTGTTGAATATAAGTGTAACAATCCCTGGAAATTCTATATATGCTAATGTTGGTAATGACCTGTTTACTATGTTGACCTACCTAGAAGAAGACAACATTGAATGCGCAATTTGGTGGCATGGGAAATACCTTTGTTCTCAGTAACCCATGTCTTGGCTGTTTGTGGAACAAGATTCCACCGTTAGCTAATCTGAAGTAGAACTATTACACTTACTTCTTGGTTCATATATGGTAATGGACTATACTTTAGGTTACATTAAAACTTGGAGTCATTGGCTATATCTGATTAATATGTAGCCCCATCTGAAGAGAGAATGAGATAACTAACGGGCCTACAGAGCTACCAAAACCTCCCTCTTCTAGTTTCATCCAGGTTTGCCAGGCTATGCATCCAAGCCCCGACCACATCTAAGGGGCAGTCCAGGCTGTCAGTATCAGAAATGAGGTCACGGCTGAGAGAGAACACTAAACAGATCTGCACTGATGTTCATCGTAAGCTGATTAAACTCTCTTGTAGGTGGATTCTTTATAGCAGCAACAAAAAGAGCCATGCCTGAATTTTTGTCCCTGGCAGATGCTTACAGTAAAACTCCTTACTGCTTGTGACAGGCTACGTGCACCTTTGCACTAGGTGTTCCCTCTGCCTGAGCAGTTCCTACCCCAGTTACCCACATGGCTTGCTCACTCATTTCCTCCAGGTCTTCACTCAGATGTCATCACCTTCTCAATGAAAGCTTTTCTGGAAACTCTTTTTTAAAATTGCAAGCACCCCCTAGATGTTCCCTACTCTCTTACTTTTTTTCCCCAGAGCACCCATCACCACCCACCTACTGTATATTGTAATTATTTTTTGTTCTGTCCATGTAGAATGTAAGAGCCATGAAGGCAAGACTTTTTATCTGTTTTATTACTGCTGAATCTCCACAATAGTGCTTGGTACCTGGTAGACAATATTTGCTCACTGTTGTTGAAAAGAGTAGCAAATTTTAACCAGTGCTTGTCCTGTGAACTAAACTGTGCCCCTCATCAGACAAAAAAAAAATTGATAATAAGAAGTATATCACTGTTGCAAAGACATAGCCACAGAGTAGAAAAATGTTCCATGTGGCTTTTGTAAACTATACAGATATTCGCACTGGGGCCAGCATTCAAAAGGAAAGTGTATCTTGTACTATGATCCTTATACAGGCAAAGTGAAAAATACTTGTCCTAGTGGCTCTTGGAGGCTCATCAGATGTTGAAAATGGAAACTGAAATTGGTAATGGAGAAGAGGCAGTTGAAATTTGCAGGAAAAAAAGAATAACCAACTGAAACAGAGAAGGACAGTTGAGGAGAGTGACATCTGCTGATATGTAGTTAGTTCTATCTCTCTGTTAGGAGCAATTCTCAAGAGGCCTGTGTAAGGAAACTGAAAAATATATATATATTTAATTAAGTAGAAAGGAACATTTCATGTAAATAATAAATATTTTACTTTGTTTCTTTTCCCCCTATCTTTATTGAGATACAATTGACATAAAAGATTGTGTAAGTTTAAGGTGTGTAATGTAATGATTTGATATGGGTATTTAGTGCAAAATGATTAACACGATAAGGTTACTTAACACATCCATCACCTCACATAGTTATAAACCTTTTTCTATGATGAGAACTTTTAAAATCTATTCTCTTAGTAACTTTTAAATATACAATATAGTATTGTTAACTATAGTCACCATGTTGTACATTATATCCCTGGAACTTATTCATCTTATAACTTGAAGTTTGTACCGTTGACCACCCTCACCCATTTCCT